TATATGCGTCTTAAGGCAAAAAGAAGTGCATACAGTTCTGTAGTAAGAACACTAGATTCAGGAGGGAGGGTGTATTTGAAAGTGCGATTTGGGAAGGTTACTGCGAATCCAGCTCCTGGGATGGATTTGGAACCGTCAGTGTAATGAATTGCTGGAGAAATGAATGAAGACATGGTCAAGGAAATGTGTGAGAAGGATAGAGGGGGGAATATCTGATTTTGGTGGGTCAGGGAAAACTGAGGAGCAAATACAGGGGTTAGGTATAAGCCATGAAGGAATGGAATGGACAGAAAGTGGGAGAGGTCGGAGGTGAGGAAAGGGGGAATGGGAGAGGAAGGTATCCATGCGTACGGGGAAAGGAGTAGGTAAACGTGGAGAACAGGTAAAGGTAGGAAGCAAGGATTGAGGAATAGTTAGTTTGGTAAGGGAAAGTTGGTGAAATCAAGCATAGCATCGGAGAGAGAGAAGGGCTCGACGTCGAGAGAGGGATGGCATGCCAGATTCAGTATACAGGCTCTCAACTGGAGAGGAGCGGAAGGCGCCTAGGGCTAAGCCGAGACCGCTGTGGTGGATTGTATCAAGGTGAGCTAGAAGGGAGGTTGAGGCAGGGGAGTAGATATGGCATCCATAATCTAGAGTGGAGAGGATCAAGGTAACATGAAGATGGAGGAGAGTTTTGCGATCTGAACCTCAGGAGTTGTGGAAAAGAGTTTGTAAGATTCGGAGGCGGCGTTAAGCTTTTTCTTTGATGTACAAGATATGGTCTCGCCAGGACAATTTGGAGTCAAATATAACGCCTAGGAATTTGTCAGAAGAACGGTATTGGAGTGGAGCGTTATAAAAGAAGAGTGGGTACCGTACGTGAGCGAGAGAAAAGGATGGGGAACGATTTGGAGGTAGAGAAGCGAAAGCCATGGTTAGTGGCCTAAGAAGTTACTGATGTTATTGCAGACTGAAGGAATTGACAGAGATCTGATATGGATGTGCCAGATGCATAGATGGTTAAGTCATCAACATATAGTGATGCCCGGGCTCCTGGTGGTAGGACTGAGACTGTCATTTACAGCAAGAAGGAATAAAGTGGTAGCACACTTCTTTGTGGGACGCCTTCGAACTGAGAAAAGGATGATGACGTGGAAGAGGCAATTTTGACCTGGAAAGTACGTTTAGAAAGGAAAGATTTTATGAAAACGCCCATGTTTCCACGTAAACCGAGGGAGGACAATTATTGGAGGATAAGGTATCGCCATGTGGTATCATGTTTTTTTCTAGATCAAAGAATATGGCTAATACGGATTCATGGCGTGCAAATGCAGGTGTAATATATGTCTCGAAATGGGCAAATGGGATTCAAGATACCACATTAAGCGAAGGTTAACCATTCGTTCTAGTAGTTTGCACAAACAGCTAGTTAGAGCAATGGGGCGATAATCTTGGGGTAGGGTACCTGATTTATTGGGTTCTAAGAAAGGTAGGGTAAGTGCATCTCGCCAATGAGAAGGAAAATTTCCTGACGTCCATATGTGGTTGAAAATAGTTAAACGGGAGGATAGAGAGGAAGATGGGAGGTGTCGGTGCATACGATAGTGAATACCATCAGGGCCTTCATGAGTGTTGCGGCACGACTGTAATGCAGCGTTGAGTTCAGATGAAGAAAAAAGAGCATTGTAGGACTCATCAGAGAATAGGGTGAAGGTAATAGGGATGCGTTCCTTGATGGCTTTAATGGAAGAAAAGTGTGGGGAAAGGTGAGAGCCACTTCTGACCTGGCTGAAATAGTTGCCTAGTTCATTAGCTACTTCGACAGGCTCAGAGATGAGAGTATCTCGAGTATGGAGGACGGGTGCAGGATGGGGGGGGGGGGATGTTTGCCTGATAATTTATGGATCCGTCGCCAAACAGCTGAAACAGATGTAGAAGATGTAACTGAGGAAACATAATTTTGCCAGCTATTTGTTCTACTGTTTCTGTAGGCGAAGATGGGCAGATGCTCTTTTAAAGGAAATAAGGGATGATAGCTTGTGAGGGGTGCCTCGTTTGTAGCGATAGCTGTTCCAGGCTGCTTGTTTTAAGCGAAGCGCTTTGGTACAATCAGAATTCCACTATGGAACACATTTAGAGGTATAAGGTCTTGAAGTTCGAGGAATGGTTGTATAGGCAGCTCTTAGGATCGTGGCTGTAAAACATTGTAGCATATTTGAAATGGACGGTAAGGGGGATGGAGGGATAGGTATAGTAGAGAGTGAAGTGAAAGTACGCCAGTCAGCTCTATCAAAGCACCAGGCTGGAGGATTAGGAAGTGGTACATATGAAGTAGGAGAAAGGAGTACTGGGACGTGGTCACTATAGGGGAAGTGGTCTAGAACTGACCAATGAAAATCTAAATGAAGAGTAGGGGAGCATAGAGAGAGGTCAAGGCATGAAAAGGATTGCGTGCGCATGTCAAAGTGTGTGGGGCGATCTGAATTAGGAATAATTAGGTTATTTGTGAAGAGGAAGCGTTCTAGAGATCGGCCTCGGGAGTTGGTGGTAGAGTCACCCCACAGAGTGTGGCGGCAGTTGAAATCACCAACTACGAGGAAAGGTGGTTGGAGTTAGGAAATTAGAGTTCCAAAGGCAACAAAGTCAATGGGATGGGATGGGGAGTAGACTGAAATCACTGTGATCCAGCGGCGAAGATGCGAATAACTGTTCACGGGACAGTAATTTGTATGGGAGGTATGATATAAGGTGTTTTATGATGGATGAGCATAGACGAGACATAAAGGGAGTGTGGGGAGAGATAAGATGGTAATTGGGAATTGG